AAAGAGCCATGTGTGTGTGTGCCGGCGCATGTGTCCCCCTCTACTGCCCCATAGTGTGGCATATATTGGGAAAGGGAGTCTGCGATCAGGTAGGCACAGCTTATGGAGGCCTAAATGTCAGGCTGGCAGTTTGATCTTCGGTTTCCAGGAAGCAGGAGCCCTGGAGGGCTCTGGATAGGAGGAAGGGTGTGATGATACTTTTGCCTCCCAGATGGCCCTGCCCTCCCAGCTTACTGCAGTGAGCTCTGGGTGGAAAGGGAATTTGCTGTCTTTACCTCACTCTTTCCAGCCGCAGTTCCTCTCCAGCCTCCTCCCTAGCCTGCCCACGCCCCCAAACATCTTCCCTCTGCCCAGCTCTCCTCCCATCCAGGGGCAGCCACACCACCCTCTGGGGACCCATCATCCCCGCTGAGTCCATCTTCATGACAAGCACTGGCTAGCAGAGCAACAGGGTTCAGGCTCCGGCCTTTCGTGGGCCTGCCAGCTCACACTGTCCCCAGCCGGAGCAAGTAAGCAGGACCCCATAGCAGTGGGAGACTGGTCCTGGAGAGGAGCATAGGAGGGCAGGATGACTCAGGATAGCCCACTACCCCAGCATGTGGTCAGCTGGCCTGGGGAAGATGGGACAAGTCACCACTGGTCCTCAGCCAACTCTCACTGCCTGTATCCTCCCTGGGGTGACTGTCCTTGCCTAGACATACAGCTCTCATCACAGCTCCTTCCTCCAGAGAGATGACCCAACAGCTGCCCCTGGGGCTGAGCCACCGCCCCAGTTCTGGAAGGGTCCTGCAGGGAGCTCAAGGGGCAGAACCCCTGGCTACCTGGGGCTTAGAAATCAAGCTGGGCCCACATCCCTGAATGCAGTGGGCCCACAAGCCACATCTGTCCCAAAGCATGTTTGTTTGACCCATCTCATGTTTCATAATGAATGACAGTTGTGAACATTTAAAAGCCAAGAGATTTTATTTATAAAGCTCATGTTAAGTTTCTCTTGAGAAATCAGATCTAGTGTCACTGGGGCCACACTCTGCCTGTCCACTGTGGAGTGAAGCGGAGGAGAGCGGCCCTTGAGGTGGGCCTGCCCAATGGGCACCCATGGATCTTACCCACCTGGCCCTGACAGCAGCTGGGTTTGTGATCTGTCCCTGAATCTGTTTCCTAGGCCTGCTGTATCAAATCACCACAAAGTTGGTGGCTTCAAAGAACAGAAATGTATCCCCTCGTGGCTCTGGTGGCCAGAAGTTAAATTAAGGTGTTAGCAGGGCCACATTCACCCCTAAGGCTCCAGAGGAGAACCCTTCTTCAACTCTTCTGGTTCTTGCTGCCTCTAAGTGTTTTTGGCTTGTGGCCGCAGGACTCCAATCTCTGCCTCCGACTTCATGTGGCCTTCTCCTCTGTCAGCTCTCCCTCTGCCTTTCTCTTAGAAGGACCCTTGTCATTGGATTTATGCCTCACCTGGATGATCCAGGATATGTCATCTCAAGATCCTTAATTTATCTTCAAAGCCCCTTTTTCCCAATAAGTTTGCATTCACAAGTTCCCAGGGATTTGGCATGAGTGTACCTTTGGAGGCCACCGTTCAACCCACTTCGTGCCTCAGCTTCCTCCTTCATAAAATGGGGGTAAATAATAGTAGCGCCTGCTTCACAGGCTTCTGGAGAGACTGAGTGATTCGGCTATTAGATGTGTTAGTGTTATTACTAATCTAGAAAGGAAAAGAGCCACCCTGCATGGGCCACAGTGGCTGGGTGAACAGGGCATGTGCCCAGGAAATTTGCCCCTCGGGCAGCTGCTAACAGCCCATCCTCCATCAACTCCCACAGACAATGGCCCTGTAGGCAAGCGGCGTACTGGCACTGCCACCGTGTTCGTCACCGTCCTGGACGTGAATGACAACCGGCCCATCTTTCTGCAGAGCAGCTACGAGGCCAGTGTCCCCGAGGACATCCCCGAGGGCCACAGCATCGTGCAGGTAGGTGGGGTGGCTGGTGGGCTGGGGGCAGGCAGTGCCAGGCTCAGGTCTGAGCGCACGTGCTCGGTGGCATCGCTGCAGGGAGGGATGGACACAGGAGCCGGCCCAGCTGCTGCTCCGGGAGTAGCCAATGCTGTGGGGAAAGGGGGACCCAGGCCTGCTCCTCCCTCCTGGGGAGAGCAGGACCCCAGATTATATGTAGTCAAGGACAGGGCCCTGGCTCCCCCCCCAAAACAGGAAGAAGGCTTTGGCCCCTCTTCTCCCTTCCTCCCCAGAGCTCTCCTTGCCCCCACCCCACCCAGATGGGCCTTTCAGAGCGGGGAGGAGACTGCCTTGTCGCATTTTCCCGGAAAGGAGCTGAGCAGAGAGCCAGGGCCCAGCAAGGCCCGGAACAGAGCGGCTTTCATGGGGCCCTTGGCCGAAGCTCCTATCCTGGGAAATAAACAGGCACAAGAAGAAAGGGAGCAGACGCAGAGGGAGAGTGAGGACCTGAAATGAGGCCCGCGTGCCCTCCCCCAGCACCCGGGCCTCAGTTGCTGGGTGGGGAGGGAAGCCAGGAATGAATTACCCTCTTCATTAGCTGCGAGGGTTTCTGACTTAGAGGCTGAGCCAAATACAGCAAATCTGGGCCTGTCCACTGGGCCACACTCTGGGCTTGGGAGGCTGGGATTACGCCCGCCACCCTGCATCAGGACCAGGAGGGAGGCAGGAAAGGACGGAGCAGGGTGCTGATTCCCAGAGTCACCAAGAGTCCAGAAAACCATGGGGATTTGCAAGGGCCTGGGGCTGGTTCCAGAGGGAAGAGGGAGGAGGTTCTCTCCCTCTGGATCTCCACTCCTGGGGGCTTGGGGAGCCCCCTCCCCTAGCTAATACCTGCCATCCTGGCTCACTGACAGGTCTTCAGGACCAGCCTGGGAACATAGCTAGGGGTGTGGCCAGGCCTTTGGGGGCCGCCTCCCACCCCCACCCCCAGCCTTTCCTTCTCCTTCAGGCCTCAGAGTAGCCTCACCCTGCACCCTGGGTCTCCAGGAAGAAAACTAGTGCCAAGCAGGGCACCAGGCCAGGGCATGACATGGGAGACTGACTAGGAAGAATTCATCCCAGATGTCTCAGGGAGGCCCGAGAGGGGGCAGGAAGAGGTTAACAAGCTGGAAGGGAGGGGAGTAACAGCCCGTTGGGAGGCCTGTCCCACTTTCTAAACTGAAGAACTGGTTTCTATTACCCAACACTACTCACACTGAATCCTAGACCCCACCAGTCATGTAGGCAGCCCTGACCTCCCCATTTCTCAGGGAGAAATCTAGGCACTAGTGATTTCTCCTGAAAGTAAGTTTCTGGCCAAGCAGGACTCACTCTTTGACATAATATTAACCTGGAAGAAAGGCACAGCGAGCCTCTTCAGCAAGGAATGCTTGGAGAGAGAGGAGCTCTCCAGGGGCATTTGAGGGAAGGAGAGGGCTGCTTAAGTTTGGGGGGGGGTACCTTCACTCAGTAACCAGCCTCACATTTCTGTGCCCCAACTGGTGGGGCAGAGTCAGGAGCTGGACACAGTCTCACCCTCTGCAAGCTCCCAGGCTCACAGGAGGGAGAAGACATAGACAAGGATGACCCATACTGCCAAGAGCACGTGGTCACCATCCTCCCTCCCAGGGATGCACAGAGGAGGGGCAGTTGCAGGCAGGAGGTGGCTTTCAGCTGGAGAGCAGAGGGCTTCACCGAGGGGGCGCATTGTGAAGCATAAGGCACAGCCCCGGAAGGACAGGTAGCTCAGGTTGCCTGGTGTCCCGGGTCAAGATAAGGCTAGAAAGATAGTTCAGAGCCAGTTCCCAGAGGGCACTGAACACCAGACTGAGGACCTCTGGCTCTAGCCAGCCAGCATTAGGGAGCAGTGATGGTTTGGGAGCTGGGAGTAGGGAAACAAGCGCTCATTCTTTGAGAAGACCTGGCCAGCTGCACTGTGGGTCATAGCACGGTGAGGTGGGCAGCCCCATGGCCGAGCACAAGATGACCCTGGCCATCAGCTCAGATCCCCTCTACCCACTCTCCAAGTGTGGGAGCCATCCAAAGTATAGAGCCCTGGCTTTGTGGGGAGAGATGAAGAGTTAGGGACTCTGAGAAGCCCACCTCCAGTGTGACTGCTTTGACAGGTAGCCAGTCACCAAAAAGATAGAACCCCTAGTGTGGCCCAGGCTTGAAGCCTCACTAGCTGTCCTGGAGAAATCTGGACCCTCCCACCTAAGGGAGGCCACCCCTTCACGGGGTGAGGTGTGGAGCCACTATGACGTGTCCTCAGAGCCCAGGTTGCATCACCTTGGGCTGCTGACAGAGCCTTCTGCTGCTCTGACACAGAGCTGGGCCTGGCCTCCGCAGGGAGATCCTAACCCATTCGCAGCCCCTTCCTCGTCCATCATGATGTGGGTGCATTGAAGAGGGGGCAGCCGAGATCGCAATTGGCTAGTCAGTATTGGGAGTCTCACTTGAGCCTCCTCCCAGCAGGCACCCAGGCATCGGATCCACCAGAGGGTGCTGGCTGCTCCCAGGGATTACTAGGTCAAGGCTGACAGGGCCCAGGAAACCCCAGAGGAGTCTCTAGGTTCCCTTTTGCCTTGGGCCCTTTGTTGGCCCCGAGGGAAGACAGTACCTTGTCCTCAGTGTGGGCTGAATTTTCGCTTGGCTGGAGGGAACCCTTGGTCATTTGGCAGCTAGCACTGAAATGCAGGCTGGGTTTGGCACTGAGGGGTAGGCATGGCTTCTGTTAGGAAGCAGGGGCCCTGCTCCCTGGATGTGGTCAGTGCCTGGTTACCAGAGAAGAAACCGGGGGTGCCAGGCTGTACTCTCCAGAGCTCAGTCAAGGGTCCAGATAGCTGCTGCTTCTCCACGCCTGGCCAGTAGTCTCTCCAAAGGCAGCAGCGAGAGGGTCTACAGAGAGGAGCTGTACTTCCAGCGGCTTCTCTGGGAAAGGCCAGGGGCCTGGGCACACGAAGTGTTTGGGCTGCTGTCTTCCTGCAGCCTGTGGTGCCAGCCTGTGTCCGAGGGAGGAGGGTGCGAGGGTAGATCCTGGGTGGCGGGAACAGTCTGTCACATCTTGGTAGATTCTGTAGAGTCCCAGTCACGGTTGGCATCGTGGTCCCGCAGGGAGCGGCGAGGTACAGGCCGACCACAACGGGAGCTGTGCAGGGAGCCGCGCAGGGAGCCCAGGCGCTTCCAGAGCCGGAGCCGGGGCTCACTGGGGCTCCCGGGGTGGTGGGGCATGCACTCGCGAGCCTGGCTGCAGGGGTCCAGCGCGGTTGGTTTGCAGATGGTCATGAACAGCAGACAGGAGGCCAGCAGGAGGAAGATGCAGGCCAAGGCAATGAGCATGGGCAGGAGGTCCACTGCCTCCACAGGGCTCCCCAGAGTGCCAGGAGTTGTGAGGGGGCTGGGGCCCTCTGTGCTCATGGCTTCTGCAACAGGAATGGGACAGAAGCTCAGAGACAAATCAGCTGGACCCAAGGACTGCTAAACCAGCAGCATATGTCATCGCAGCCATTTTACAGGTTAGAACAGTGAGGCTTACAGAGGTGCCAAGGCTAAGGTCACACAGCAGAAAAGCGATGGAGCTGGGCCTGAACTCAGGTCCTCTTCCTGCTGTGTCTCCCTGCCCATCTGCAGTGGAGGAGCTGGGAATTTTATAATCAGTTCTCATGAATTACAATAGAGTCTTAGCCCTGAAAACCTGGGATCTAAGACCAACTCTATCAATAACTTGCTCTGTCAGCAGGGATGAGACCTGGATTATGGGATGCTGGAGCTGGCAAGGACCCTAGCAATTATCTGATGCCAAGGCTGCAAACTAAGGGCCCACCAGTGTGTTTCGTTTGGTTCTTGCAGTATTTTTATAAATTTAAATTGTGGTTAAAAACCACAAACAAACAAAAACACAAGAGATGTCACATAAATATCTGAACGTCTGTCATCTCGAAATTTTCAAATTTCAACACTGGCAACATGAGGCCAATTGTGCCTGGCACCCAGTTGCTGGGGCTGAGCAGCAGCTGCCTCCTTTAGATAGGGTGCTGGCCCCCAGCTCACCGCGCTTCCACAGGCCTTCGCATACCTTATACCACCTGCCTGGCCCCACGGGCATCCTGATGGTGCTTCCCCAGACAGTCCAAGCTGTTCCCATGACAAGTGATGAATTGAGGCCCAATAATGGTAGACTAAGCCCAAGGATACACTGTGAGCCAGTGACCAAGTAAAGGCCAGAACCAGGTTTCCTGACTCCCGCAGCCTTGCCAACCCTCTGGCTCTCACCCTCTCCTAGGGTTCACTGAGCTGCTCGGAGAACAGGTGTAAAATAACCCACAGAGAACAACAGAGTTGACAAGATGGGGCTCAAACCCCACACCAACACCAGTCACCTGTTATCACTTAAGATCATCCCACTAGAGGGAGCACAGCAGATGGCCCTTGTAGATGAGGCTCAGCTTTTGGTTACAAATAAAAATGCTCACAGAGCCAAGCTGGTGGATAACATGTGGCCAAAAAAGACAGGTGGGCAGGTCTACCTGGAGGACGCTCTCTAGGAGGTGCAGGGGCCTGGGCCAGGCTGATGGGAGGCCAGAGACAGGCCCAGTGCAGTTGGCCCTTCCAACTTCCCAAAAGAAGCTAGAAATCTGTTCTTTAAGGCAAACTTTCCTGATGTTTAAATGTTGGCAACTAATTCAAATTTGGTTAACATGAGATTGAGAGAGAGGGAAGAAGGGAGAAAACACTGCAAAGACCAAACAAATTCGATTCCAGAATCTTTGGAATGAATTTTCAAATATTTTAAACAGTACAGCGAGCCAAACAAAACACACAGGTGGCTACATCCAGCCTTGTGAGCCAGCATTTGTGATCTTTGATTTCTACAAACATAGGACAGGAAACCCCAAGGATGGGCCAATAATAATCATTTATTTCTCTTTGCCTTGGAGACTTCTGTGAGCCTAGAAATAGCAGATTTCCCTTCTTTCCCCAACTTACAGCTAGTCTAACTCACAGTCATGTTCCTGCACCTACACCCAGCAGGAGGTGCTGCAGGTGGCTGCAGAGTCCATGTCAGCAGGCAGCGGAGAGGGCCAACCCTCTCCAGCCTCCCAACCCCCACCGCCAGTGCCCACCCCAGGCACTCACCGGCAGCCTTGGGACCTAACTCCAGGCTCTTTGTGCCCAGCCTCCTTCCTGCCTGCAGCCTTGCCCTGTGCCCGGCCAAATAAGGGTATCCAGTGCACACCCCACCCCCACCCACTCCCTACCATCACTCCTTCCAGCATTTCCAGGAAGAATAAGCCCCCTCCCAGCTCCCAGCTGGAAACTCTGATGCCCGTCTAGCTGCCCAGGGCCTCCGCCTTACAGGCATCGCCTGGAGAGTGCTCTGGCCAGGCAGCCACACATGGGTTGGCCCTTCCTTGAATCTGAGCAGGGAGGAGTGCCCACTGCCATCTCCCATGGGAAAAAAACTGGCTGTCCCTCTATTCCACCCTGGGCTATGCTTGGCTGAAAGTAAGAAAAGTGCAGTCAGAAGCAGGAGAAGTCTCGCTCCTACCAATCCTACTGTTATTCCGAGGCCTTCACGTGGACCTGGAGACCTTCTCAGGTCAGCAAAGCAGGTCCTGGCTTCAGTCCTTGGGAAGCACTTTAATAAAAGGATACATGAGGTTATAATTAGTGTCAGAGTAATCTTGGAATCTCTTGCTTCCAACGTGCTTGAGAACATGAAGCCACCCTCCCTGGAACACATACTAGGCCAATTGCCAGGCCCCTTGACGCCCCCTCTGACAACAGCCCAGCTGGCTTTCCAGAAAAAGGAGGCCTCTGCCAGACCAAGGCTAGGAATCTTCCTGAGGGCAGGTGAAGTCTCTCCCATACTCCTGGAGTCCAGGGCACCCTGACAGGCCCTGCTCTGGACATAGCTCTGTAAGCTTAGTCTAGAACCTTCTTTCCTAGATCTAAGCGACTGACCTCAGAGCACTTGTTGCTATGTGGTCTCTGGCTAGCCGCTGCCCCTTATTAGGCCTTCCACTCTCCACAAAAGCAGAGGGGGTCCCCAGGGCTGAGTACACCTTCACCTCCCCCAGAGTACCCCACTTGCCTCACCAGGCCTCCTCCTGCAGTCCCCCAGGCACTGACCTCAGAGCCAGCCCTTAGCAGTCCCAATCTGGGTGGATGGTCTTCTCAGCTGCCCAAAGGAGACCCAAGGAGACCCCAGCGCCACCTGCGACTCCAACCTGCCCTGGGCTCTGCAGTGCCCTGGGTTCCTCAGTCAGCCAGGCTGGGCAAAATAGGCCCTCTCCCTTCACTCTCCTGCTAGACCTGGCTTTGTCTGGAAGAGTTTGGGCCCTGCCTTGGGGGAGGGGACATCCAAGAGGGTCGGGATGGCAACTGGGTTGGGAGAGGGAAAGGGAGAGGGGAGCTCTGTTCCTGAGCGTTCCCAGGGCTTCACTCCAGCCGTCTCCTTGGAGCCCTCTGGAGGGGCAGAGGCGCTGGGGGGGACACGGGGAAGGTTTCAATGACTCTTCCGCCCTGTGGCTCTCACCTTCCCCCACTGGATGTTTGAATGGTATGATCTGCAGCAGCTAGCGGGTCCCTATTCAGTGCCTGCCAGCTTCCAGGTTACCAGGGAGAGGGGCTCGCAGAGGGCAGGGAACAGGCAGCGAGGTGGGCCCTGGTAGCCCCTGAGGCCCCTTCACCCCTCCTGCGTCCCTGTGCCTCTCACCTTCCAGGCTTCTCCCTCAAATTCCCAGAAAAGTACTTTCCCTTTGATGGTGTAAGTGAGGGGTAAGAGGCATTTTCAAAGGTCAAAGAAATCACAGAGCAGAAAGCCTAAGATGGAGGGACAGCCAAAGCTGTGCTCCTGGTGGTATGGGTGGGCCTTTGGAGACCCTCCAGGCAGTGGCTCTCCCCTCACCCCCCACATACCCCCACACACCCACACACCCACACTCCTCCCCACACAAACATCC